CGATGTCATCACAAATTTCAAATTTGTGCAATTGTTCCTGTGAAAACTTTGAAGAACATTTTATTCAAAGATAATATTTTTTTTATAGTGGAATGGTTATCTCACCGATTTTCCTATCATCAATTCATTCAAAATTTGACGATCTCCAGCGAGACGAAATTGGGCAATACTGTCAGTTGTTCGAATTTGGGTTTCATAAAGTGTAGTTCTAATGTACTTGAATAGAAATGCTACAAAGATCTGTGCGTCTATGAACGCTGCTATCAAAATTATTGCAAAATATAGGCGCTTGATTGGACTTTTTGGTACGTTTGGTTGATTATTTGAAGTGATTACTGCAACGGAAGAAATTGCGCAAAGAAATAAATCCATTGGTTTTTCACCAAATGTTGTTAAGAGGAATGAGCAAATGATCCCGGCTCCGTACAAGGCGAAACCAATTACGTAAGTTTGCCAATCTTTTGGAATGTAATAAATATTCAACCATCGCGGTATTTCCTTTGCTCGACTCACACACCATGTTAAATCATCTTGCATATAAGGTGGACTTGCAACAAATTTCTTGGAATCGATATAATCAGAACGAATACCACCAATGATCAAATCATATTCTCTATACGTTAAATAGTCATTAAAAATATGGATTAAAATTTAAATTTGTATTGAACTTACTCTATTTCATCCATTGGAATTTTATCAAAACTATCAACCTTGCTGATAGTTAGTTTTGAATTCATTTTCTTGTTAATTGTTTTTAGGAGTTGAATATCGATTCCTCCAACAAATCCATGACTTTCGTCGAAGTGTGTGAATGGCGGAAAATTAACAGCAAGTACTTTCACGGTGTCATTTTCACTTGATTGAATTTTCGCTGACGTGAATGATGTACAAAATAATAATTGAATTATTGTAATTGGGTGAAAAATTTTCTTGGACAACATTTTTTTATTTCAAATCCAAACGATGTTTTTGAATGACATTAGAAAATCGTTATTCATTCAGTCAACTTCAGAAATACAATGAAACTTCCTTTTTAGTCGAATGTGGGTTTTATTTCCGCATTTGAATCGATATTTTATTGTTAAGATTCCATCGTATCATTAAAAAATTCGTTTACATATGGTAATTTAACGTTGAAATAATCTCACGCAAATTACTTCTAGTAAGTTTAACTATTAACCGTTTATTACCGGAAAATTGGCCTCGGAATATGTATATTGACTTAATTTTTTTATAGCTATCAATAGGTTCAGGGACGTTAATATTGAAATAGAATTTATGACTTTTAAGTAAATATAGAGAAAAAAAATTAATTTATTGCTCAACCAAAAGCACCTGAATCATATACAGGGTGCGCCATAATAACTGTCCCTTTTATTTCTAGCCAAAAAACACAGAAATTTGAATCAAATCGAGATATAATTTTATTCGATATAAGAATGAGGTATAGAGATTATGATTCAGCCTTTGACTTTAATTCTTCCCAACTTTCCTCGGATTACCAAACGCAAACGTTTCGAAAACGATTGACACGCGGCACGCACCATATCCATGGGAATTTCGTTCCAAATTTTTATTATTTTCTTTTTGAATGCATCCAAAGTGGTTCGTTTCGTAATTTTCAGATCATTGAGCTTCGACGACATGTTTCCCCAAGCGAAAAAATCGAACGGGTTCAAGTCAGGAGACGATGGCGGCCATGAGTCTCTGTCAATGAAATCAGGAAAATTCGTGCGTGGCCATTGTTGTGTCGTATTTGCTCGATGTGCGGGTGCACCATCTTGTTGAAATACCCATGGTTCACCTCTGAATAGTCTTTGAGACTGTTGCAATAAGTTTTTACGCAATATTTCTCGAATATATACTCTGGCATTGATTTTTACGCCTTCTTCGACGAAAACCAGTGGAAATTTGTGGTCGGCCGACATGGCGGCCCAAACCATCAATTGTGGAACATTTTGAAATCGTTCAATGGTTTTTTTAACTTCGGGAATATCAATGATTGATGTTGCGTACACACGATCATTTTGCGAATTGAGGCTTGGCTGTAAAAGGAACAACTTTTCATCTGAAAAAACAATGTTTGAGTTTGCGTGCCGGTGCAACAACTCTTTGCATCTTTGCTTTCTGGCTTCTTTATTTTTGATTGTGAGACCATGTCGTCGACATTTTTTGAATGGATTCATATTCAGGTTTTTTGCCAAAACTCGTCGCATTGAAGTTTCACTGATTTTGTGCTCATGAGCCAACTTTCGTCCACTTCTTCGAGGTTCTCGGCGAATTTTCTCTCTCACACGTTTGATGAGATTTTTGGCACGAACAGATCTTTTTCGTCCAGTTTTCTTCAATATATCAACGCTGCCCCGTTCTTTGTATCGTTTTATTGTGCGCTTTAAAAATTTCAAGTTGATATTTTCATTTTGTAGCTGTCGAAAAATATCAATTTGTCTCAAGCCCCGTTTGTGCAAATTTAGTACCAGTTGACGTTTCACATCCATTCTTATTGCAAGCTAAACAAACACTGTACAAAAATGCGCAGTATCGTTAGAGTTAGAGTAAACACCAATAAACATAACGGTAAACGACAGAGTGAATCGCAAGACATTTGAGTATTAAAACAAACGATTGAAAAAAAGGGACAGTTATTATGGCGCACCCTGTAATATAGTGAAAAAAATGTAATACTTTTATTACAAAAAAAAAATCAAGCCGAAAAAGTATTAAGCAGTTTCCTTCATGGTGCCTATAGTACTTTGTGCAATACCTTATACCTATAGTACCTTTTATCTTTTAAAATTTTCAATTTATATTTCGTCGAAAAGATGCAACAAATCAATATTTAAATCATTATCATGGAGAACAGTAGTTGATATTCATGGATACTTATACATTTTCGGTGGTTTTAAAATTACACTTCTTAGCTTTCAAAATCATTTGATTTGCCACGCCGCCATCAGAAGGGTTGAAAATAATTTATAATATCAGTTATAATACTGGCACATTTTCTTGAATATACCGCTACAAGCCATTTACCCTCTGTTCAATATTTCCTCAAATCCACAATAATCGGCCATTTTATTTGAATCAGAGCATATACTAAGCATAGATATATATCTTGGATATTTTGTGAGTATCCGATATTCATTGGAGCCAGACTTTGAAATAAAGTAAAAACAATAGAAGTTATTGTTATAGTGATTGTAGTAATGTAAATGGTTTTATACTTAGACCTATAACAATCACTTTTATTGTTTTCACTCCATTATAATGTCTGGCTGCGATAAATATCGGATACTCACAAAATATCCCGGATATATATCTATGCTCAGTATATGCTCTGATTTGAATATTCGGAAGTAAAAATGCTTGATATCACCATTATTCCGTGCTCCTTACAAACTATTTCAGCGCACTCAAGGAGTTTGTTCCCGTCTTCGATAATCGTGTAAAACCACTAGACCTCGCTTTTCAAGTACTCTTTCACTCCGTACCCGTCAAATATACTATACCTAGCGTTCACTGTATTGCTAGTACGAAGTGGCTTCACTGTTTTCTTTTAAAAATAAAATATTTGAAATGTTTGTTTCATTGATTAAAAAAATGCATACACTTACATATAGTATGTGCAAGCCAGTCATCTCATTTGATCCTTTTTTGAAACAGGCCACCGACTTGCCTTCTTTTAGTTCAGCCAACCAAGCATTTTCGGATCTTCGAACCATACTTTGCTTCATAGTTGGACCTATTGAATTTAATCATTTTTATCTGATTGAATAACTACAGTAAGATTATTTCGTATATTCGTCCAAGCAAAAATCGGCTCATCTCTGGCATAAAATGTCTCCATCAAATAAATCGCCTCTTCATATTTTGATTCGGGTACATATTTTATATAATAATTCACCAAATTATCACTATTTTTCTCTTTTTCTGGAAAAGTCATAGATGTCCCTTTTTGCGCTTTTATAATGTTTGGAATGAAAGTACCAAGAAGTATAAAGATAATAAAATTTCGATTTATCATTTTTACACGTGGATATTTGATAATCCTACTTATTGGGTATTTTGTTGCTCAAATGAATCGTCGAAACTGATACAATGAAGAAATTCATATTTTGTGTTTTTAGTTCACATTTTTGTCATATTTATACGTAGAAATTGACTCGTGTAACAAAAACATCTGTTGAAAAAAATCTCAAAAGCAGGCTCGCAAAGAGGGTTTATTATATTTATGTATTACTTCATATTTGTTGAAAACAAAACGCACCAAAACTCACAATTTTGAAATTTAATTGCGCTTACAATTTCATCGTTGATAATTTTTTCCATTTAACACATTCTCTCTCTTCCACTCTCTCTCTCTCTCTATCTCTCTCTCTCCTCTCTCTCTCTCTCTCTCTCTCTCTCTCTCTATCTCTCTCTCTCTCTCTCTTGAAATATGCACAAAAATATTATTTACTTTTTCAAAAGGTCGGTATGATGCGTTTATTAAATGGTTCTATAAATACCTCAAATGAAAATAAGTGCACAGTATGTATTTTCCATCATCAAATTGCTTTATTTCAATGAGTTTATAATATGCTTTATTACAAACGAATGCTAATGATAATCGACGTACTACTGTGGTCAGTTGTGTGGCGTCACCGCCACAAGCCTTTTCCCACATGATAAATATTTAATGTGAAATATATAATTCATTTTGAGCGAAAATCAAGTAGTTCGTTTATATTTTTATCGGAATCAAATGACAGGTTGCTGAAAGGTTATTGGTTCACTCTTTTTTAATTAGATTTTTTTTTACAATTATGTATATTTAATAATATTACTGCGACTAATTTATCGAGCCCATGTAAATGTAGTAAGCTTTTCCATGAAAAACCACTATATACAAGCCATTTTACTTTATACTTTTAAATGCACAACTTTTTAAGCTACTTACAAATAGTGTTCAATTCAGTAACATGGAAAACGAGCTCCACAGTCAAGAAGTAAGGGCCCCATTATGTCTCCAAAAAATAGTGAATAAAAAATCGTAGTTATTGATTGATTGTCCAAAAACTTTCGTTTTCTATTTATTCAATATTTTGTTGGTTTGAATTACATTAGTTGATATTAAAAATTATATTAAGAAATGATTTCCATTCAGCGGTGAAGTACAAAAGAATCGCGAATAATACAAATTCAAATCTTATGTCTAAATATTTGTGTTTATTATCTGTGACAGCACAGCAGAAACCACTTGATTTCGTTGAAACGAGAGAAAGAAAAAAAAGTTGTATCAAAGCATACTGTATAAATTGTAGCATGCGTTTCTAATTTTAAATCAAGCATAAAATAATATTATGTCATTGTGGCAGTTAAATCAATGGTTTCCGTCATATAGCAATCAATAGGAACAGTTGTTGAGTCAAACAGAAAAAAAATAATAAACACACACAAACAGAAGCACAAGAGTGAAATGGGTGTTATGCCTGACACTTGTGCTCTTAATATTCATAACACAGTCGCTCGTAAGTAAAAAAAAGAATTCATATCGAAAACCATTGGCGTATGTCAAGTCACGTCACATTACACATTGGCGATATTTGCATTTACGTTGATACTGTGAAATTTCTATTGGCATTTGAATCGATATTTGTGTGATTGTTTAGATTATTGATGGTATCGAATGATGTAGAATCGGTTTTGAAAAATAGAGCTAATGGTTCTTGTCCGGCCTTCACTGTGCCATAAATTATATCAGCTACTGATGTTGGGATTGGTCTTATTTGCGGTCTCTCATGTTTACTGTTGTGATTTAAATCCCAGCCGTCTGAATCATTTGGACGTTTTTCATGTGTTTTCGATTTCAAATCATCACTGAATCGATCATCATCATTACCACCACCACCATCGTCGCCGCCAAATTGTTCAACACTATAATCGGGATTTTTGTTGCGCTGTGTGGAATGCGACTTACTTTTTTTTTGGCTATGCTTGGTATGCGTTGACACGGACGGAATGGGTAGATCATATGCATACGGATGATTGGTATTGAATTTTTTCGATGTTGAATATGATTTATAGAAATTATCCGGCCGATTCACATTTGCAAACATGCACTCTTTTCGCCGTTCACCATCCACATAACACTCAAAGCAAACTTGATTCATTTCAACCGTTTTTCTACAACTTGACCAATCTTTGCTTATGAATGCCGCATATTTTGGATTTGCAGCTGCACCACTCACCATATGATTCGGCAAATATTCGAATAAGTGTTCTTTCGTTACATTCGATAAAAGACTTTCACTATGCGCACCATTTATATCACGATTTATATCACGTGGCGGTCTTAATTCTTGCGCTGCCGACACTGGACGATGGTTATTATTGTTATTGTAGTATTGTTGTTGCTGTGGTGATGATGGTGGAGGCGGTAAGTATCCTGATCCAGGACCGCTTGGATAAGTAATTAGTCGAATGTGCTGATTACCAAAGGGGGGTTCAACGGTGCGATAACGAATCAAAGCAACATTCGGCGGTGGAAGTGATGGGGGTGGTGGTCCGTTTTTTATTCGAATACGAATCGGTCGTCCGCCTGATATCGGTCGCATAGAAATTGGTTGATAGGCTTGCGGTAGAAATGTTTGAGGACCGTAATTTTGGTATCCATTTTGGTTTTGATATCCATTGGAATGTGTTGGTTGGGGAGTTCCATAGAATCGCGGGCCTTGCTGTTGATATTGTGGTTGTTGATGACGATGATTTGTTGGATATTTTTTCACTGGCGGTGGTGGTCGTTTCTTTCTTGGACTACCTTCTCGGTCATCATTTTCATCGTCATTGGTGGCACCTTCTAAGCTCTCTGGATCTTTGTCACGATTGCTATAGCTTGTATCCTCTGAGTAGGCATAGTTTTTCTCTTTTGGATCAGAATTGTATGAGCACGATTCGGCTTTTGCATCATTTTTCGGGTCATAGCAAATGTTGCACACCATATTTCCCTTTTTTTCGGTTTTACAATGTTTCGATTTCTTTTTTCCCGCATTTTGTTCGGATTTTTTCGTTTTTGTTTTGCCATTTTTTTGTGGTTTTGATTTATATTTTTTTCGACTTTCTTCACTCGATTCACTTTCACCATCGTCGTCATCATTGTCATTATCTTCATCGCTCTCGTCTGCCGAACTGTCTACACTCTCATTTTCTTCGCTTTCCGCAACTTGATATCGACCGTGGCGTTCTATACCGTTATCTTTATGGTAATTTCGTAAAAATTCATCGTATCCACGTTCAAAGTCACTGTCACGTCGAATACGTTTATCATCTTCAAGTTCCATGTGTGTGATTGAACTGACATCACGTCCAATGAATTCGACATTGTCTAACGCATCAGTTTGAATAGAACGTTTCGATTTATCCACTGCATTGCATTCAACTGTCCATATAATCCATGTTATTGTCAATTTTAGAAGCCAACAATTTATAATCTAGAAAATAATTTTAGAAAAAAATATTTCACCAAATAAATCACTTGCAACCGAATGAACGAAAAAGAAGCAAAATTGAAAGAAAAATATTATAATACCTCCATTGTATTGTTAAAATGAGAGAATAAAAATGAAAATATGATCTTTCGATCATTTATATAAAACACTGTTCGATGTTGTGTTAACTGTGTGACGGTAAAGGTTCAACTAAATTTGGTCCAGCAGCCGTCATATACTTTTATACTTTGGTTTACTTTGCAAGACAATTAGATTGGAATTTATGTATATTATTATGCTATTCTTTCGTGCACATTTTGCAATGTGATCTGTGTCAGTTTTTGGCTGATGTTATTCAATCAAGCGTGCGACTGATTCAACAATTGACCAAAACGGATCGATGTGCCCCTTGAGCAAATATGCCAAAAGAAAATATGCACAACAATTAGGTAAGAAATTTATTTATTGATTCATACATTTTTTCATACAATAGAAGCACAAACGAATCGATTTTTTTGCTTGATTCGTTTCTCACTCAATTGATGATTGACATCTACCAAACAATACAGAAACAAACGAACGAACGAATAAAGGAACGAGAAAAAAAAACAGGTGGGAACAGATATTATTGGCAGAATTGCAACATAAGACAGTTTTTCGAAGACAAAATCCAATATTATTATGAATCATAAATTTAAAGGGAATTTTCCAGCGATTCGTAATTGCGAGAGTAAAGTCTTGTCTCTTTCAAGGAAATCTTCAAATGCTTTGTTTATTTATAAAATGACATTGAGAATTCGGCAAATCAAATGAAGCTGAATAACAATACGATGTTAAATTGAAATAAATATTCTGCTTTAAATCGATTTTGATATGCAATACAAACTTGGTCAATGTTATTGTTTTTATCTATTGTTTAAAACTGACCGAGAACAAAACAAAATTCCGAAATTCACCCCGTCCAAGGGCCAACGCAAACAAAAACACATGATCAATTTGACATCAATTGTTTTCAAATTGCAAATGCAATCGCAAACAAAAACATATAGCTGGATAATCATAGAAAAGGAGAGAATATGGATTTTAGTTGTTTTTCATTATTTTATTGATCAATATTTCCATATTTGATATAATATTACATAATTTCGATGCGCACATGTACATTACAATACTTATGCCAATAAAATTACGAAAAAAAAATTAGTTTTAATTGAAATTGTGTGTATGTATGTGTTTTTTTTACAAATTAATATTTTAATGCTTATCCAATAATAATGTCCAAGCTACAGTTAAACAAATTATCCGATTCGATGAATAAACTGTCATTTTATAGTTTAATCGTGTTTGCAAAAAAATGAGCCTACATTGTTTTTTTTTTTTGTTTAAATCGTCTATGTTTAAATTTGTTATTTGCAATTAAAATTACGCTAAAAATACATTTGTCAGCAAAATTTAATTGGTTGTAAATGAAATTGAATTGGTTTATTATATTTGAATTGTGTGTGTGTATGTGCATGTTTTTTTCTGCTGAGCATAAAAGGAACCACTGTCTCTCAACTGCATGCACTTCATTTGTATTTTATTCTGCATTCACTCTCTTACGTAATAAAAAGAGTCATATCATGGCACGTTTTATGAAAAAAAATGTTGTGTCATTAAATATGTTTTTAGGCATTTAAAAAATATTTTCTTTCTATTTCGTTAAATTGTTGGCCTTTTTTTGTTGTATACAATATAATTCTTATGTTCATTGTGTATGATAATAAGTGCGGAACTTATTGTTTTTTCTTCTTCTCTGTTCCATATAATTTGGAACTCTCTTCAAAAGTATCGTAATTATTCTAAGCAGCAAAATAGACGTAATAATAAGCATCTTTGAAGTAGTTTATAATTTGGGCAATAATTTTGAAAATTTACAATAACTGAAATGATTTCATATATGGTACGTTTTATATATATGTAAAAAAAATGTAAACTAAATTCAATTTATTGAATATAAATATAAAACAAATAGAAAAAAAATATAATCGAACCGATAAAATCATACAATTCTATTTATTATACAGTTGATATACAGCATTTGAAAACCATCTCAAAGAGTTGACATTTTGATGATAATACTGATGTAGTTATGGACCATAACTTATGGTTTTGAAATGCCCACAATCTTTTATTCATCAACTGTACGCTCAACATTCTTTATTTGTTTTAATTTCAAACGGGCTCTATGAGCGATAAGTTGATAAACGCTGACTTTTGTATATTAAATCAAGCAAAATACATGAAATGATGTAATGGACAATATTATTTTGAATAGGTAAAGAATGTTTTACATAAATTACAATCAGAGTTTTTTTCTTCTTCAATCGCATATAAATAATATTAAATTATTGCACACAAAACCAAATAAAATAGAAAAAAATCGGCATCAAAAACGCCATTCAACGCGACAAAATGAAGTGCATTTTGTCATAATCATTGACATTCGAGAACAAATGTCGATTTTGCAACGCACAATTCAAATGTTGTGATGCGACGTTCTTGCATCTTGTTGATGTTTTTTTTTTCTTAAGAAAGAATTTCTTTAGCTAAAATGTTAATCAATCAATATTTTGCTGATGGTTTTTCAAACAATTATTAAGAACTTTGCATCCGTCGAAAATTCTTTGGAAAAAAGAGTCACTTTTCTTTTTTTGTTAAAAAAAAATGTGGTTATCTTCAGTGATAAGATACGGCCATACAATTAAAATACAAATTCCGAAGCAATAAACTCAACTTCGAGAATAAACTCTAATCTATGTGCCATTTGCTTTCGTTCCCATTTGTTTATTCCGATATTTCACTCTTTGTCCATTTCGCTTTTATTTTATCATTATTATTATTATTCAATTCGTTTCTATTCATTGGTTCGTTTTGCTATTTAATTGCAACTGCTTTTTTTCCATTACTCTCTTATCAAACTAATGAAATCGGGGATTCAATCACGAATACTACATGAATGCTATCATTTATTTGTTATTGTGCTTGAAATGCGTGGTGCACAAAAATGACCGCGCCTAGTCACCGTTACTTTGAACGTATGTCGTTTCTGTAGCAACGACCGGTGTTGAGTTGTTTTGATTCTGCACCGAATCCATGTTTGGAATGTAATCCATTGCCATCAAGCATGCAAATACTGTCATCACCATTTTCGGTTTTACTTCGGTTATATCCTCTGGAAGCGCGTACACACGAGCACCAATCTTTCGTGCCATTGAAATTGCATATTTTGCATTTGCCAAATGATCCTAAATTGGGATGAAAAATGGTCCGTATTTAAAATTGTGCGCCAAGAGAAAAAAAATCGTATGGAATTGTGTAAAAATGTTACCTCTTCAGATTCACCACTCTTGATATTGTCATAGTTGACACTTCCCGGTTTGATTGAATCGACCAAATCGATGACAATTTTGCCATCGGCTATTCTTGAATCTTGGAAGTTTCGTATGCTGCTTGTTTTTCCGGCCGATTCCAATTTACTGTTCACCCAAGCAACAATCTCCTTTTCAATTATTGGCGTATTTGAATGGGCCAAACTTGTTAGCACCGATAATGTGTATGCGCGCATAATTTGCCAAATCAATGCTGAAACGATTCATTTTTGTGATTATTTACAACATCTTGTACGAAAGCGCATTAAATTTCAATGTTTTACTATCTTACCCAAAGTCAATGTTGCATTTCCGTCACTAAGATCATGCCCAGCGATGCCGACCAACGAAAATTTCAGCTGTTTTCCTAATTCAACGGCATAATTACAGTTTTCAAGTTTTTCCATGAATTTTCGCAACGGAGAGAATTTACGGTGCACACGATTCCAATTCACTGAACCAGGTTTAATGACGTCGAACAATTGGAAGATTACTAAACCATCGGCCAAATCTGAATACAACCAATTCACGTGTGGATTCACCCCCATGGAATTCATCCAGTTTCGATACGCTGAACAAAAATGAAAGAAATATTAGCAAAAGATCCATTCGTCAAAATCAAATGTAAAACTTACTCTTCTCCTCGCGCGTTTCTTCAATTGCATCGAGTCCTTCGATTTGTTCGGGTTGATCGAGGCCTGGATGATTGTTGAACAGATTGGCAACGAAAGCCAAATTCAATTTGTACACACCGTTCACAACGTCTTGTGGTGTAAGAAAACTGCGACAATTCAGTTTGGCTGCTTGTTGCAACATAACCTCTGCCCGATTACTCAAATCATGTTCGCGCAATGCTTCAACCGTAACACCGGCATCGGCTGGTGCAATTTGTTTCAATAAATATGAATAGACTTCAGAATCGGTGATGTCGCTTTGGAAATTAGTGCATCGTCTGGCAACACCGGCACGCTCCAAATGATAGTTAACCCAACGCAATAGAATTGCTTCGGGTGATAACTTCAAAAGATCCTCTAATCGTTCGCCATCCAATAAAAGTGTTGCAATTTGTGGGCAATTGTCAAGTGAAATGTGTGAAAATAGACCGATACGAATAATTTGCCAAAGTAAACCGAGTACCAAATGCGGTTTACCCTTAGCCAAATCATGAGCATCAATATTGACAATGTTGCAACCAATTGCTTGCGAGGAAACCAGAGCCAATGTCAAATTCTCAAATTCACGATAAACGGTCAAGTTTTTCTTGTTTATAGCACGTTCATCGATTGTATCCGGGCACGAATGGTTTATGATTTTACACAGCAATATGCCATCCTTGATTTTTTGATACAATGTCTTGCCTTCACCATCAATTGGCAACAAATGCTTTAGGTCTTTGTCTAAAATTAAATTGGAATTGATCCAATCGGAAAATGCTAATTGTTCTTCCATGCGCACCGAATGTGTTGTACCGTCAGCCGATTGACTTGACATGCCGCCCAATTTTTCAACATTTTCCTTTTTCGAGACGGCCGTTTTGAATGTGCTGGCCACTTCTTTTGCCTTCAAATCCGTACATAATGCCTCAAACTCTTCGTACGATAATTTACCCTGAGTGCTAACATTCTGTTTGCTATATTCAGCGATCATTTCACGTACTCGATACCCCGGCAATTTAAAACCGCATTGATCTAGCGCATCTTTCAACTCGTTCAGTTCAATGAACCCATCGTTGTTTTTATCAATCTGAAAATATAGAGAACACATCAAAGATAAATAAATCGGTTTTGGTTATATGCCGTATTTGGTGTGTATGAAATGCCGGCAAGACTTGATTCAAAAATAAATTTTATTTTGGATGTAGTCGTGTGGGTTTAAAATCACTTTTTCCTCTCTGCCACGAAACGTGGGAGGCATCATTCTATACCATTTTTATTCAATCCATTCGATAACAACACTCATTCGGATAGAGTTACTATCTCGAAGATTGAAATTTGTGGAAGGAATAATACCTTTTTAAAAAGAACTATTCATTTGTATTCCGAGCATGAGAGAATATTGTTTTTTTATTATTCAAAATAAAATATTCGGTTACACGGCCCCGTATAAATTGATACGGAGATTGTTTTTATTTGGTTTGTCAGTGACATAGACAGTCTTTATAGTCTTTTAGAGAATGTGCGAGAAATAATTTATCAATTTATTGACATACATTTGATCGCTTGGCCAATTGATAAACACAATTAATCAAGTTCACCTTGAAACTTGAACGGGGCACGGTGCTCAGTAGAGTACACACCTTATTGTGATTTAATCATAAACAGTCAGTCATTTGAGTCATCAATTCATGTTAATTAATAATCGTTTGATTTTAAATTGTTTTTATCGTTTGTACTATCATTTTACGTGGTCTCTTTGATTTTATGACGTTTTTTTCTCTTCTATTAGAATACAAGAAAAAAATGTTTATCGTTTTCGAAAATGTCTGCTTAAAAATTATTGTACAAGCCTTTTCTAGCCTTATACCTTAGACTTACATTGGAAACGACAAAGAACGTGAATACAGCGATAATCATTACGCAATCGGATTAAGGCTATCAAATCGGCTTTATAGTAAACCTTTGCAATGTTCTTTCTCTCTCTCTCTCTCTCTCTCTCTCTCTCATTATCTCTCGATATTAACAACAGCAATTGTCGTGATTCACATTATTTTTCAAGATTGACGTTCGTTGAATGAGTTGTTGTCTTGTTTTATTTGTGTGTTAATATTTAAAAGGTTGTATGCGGCATTTAATGAATTCAATTTACATGAGTAAAATTGGCCTTTGTCAACCACACGGAATGTGTTTATTGCGCACAACGTACATATATCAGCTGATTACTTTGTACATTCAACCGCTAATAATAATTAAATCACTCTTTTCTTCCATAAAGACGATACACGAAATGGCATTATATTGACATAACTTTTATCCCGACCGTCTTTATCAACCGCCTAGCCCATTTTTTCTTCTTTCAAGTGAATCTTTTCGCTTCCCAACTTTTGGGAATTCCAAAAAAATTTAAACTAGTGAAAATTGGAGTTTCTGTTTTGAATTATGATCATTGCCTAAAGGAATGTGCGCCAATTAGATATGACTTATCAGTTGTTTGGCGCTGACGTCATGTACCAGTTTTTATTTTACATTTTTGGAACCTATGTGTAAACAAGTTTGGTTCTATTTTGAAGATTTCGCGTCTACGTGTCACGATGTCACTTACATTTTCGATGAAATAAAATAGTTTTTTAAAAGTCACACCAAAGTTAGTTTGACCACTGCAATGAGCAGAACAACTTAGTGCTAAAGCGATATTATCGCTTGAACCAAGCTGTTCATTGTTTTGATAAGGAAAAAAAGATGTATAAATAGAAGCACTAATGGAGAGGTCATATTCCATACGGCGAACGAAAAAAAATAGAATTACATTGTTAATGCATGCAAATTATTATCAGTCGATAATTTTTTCTATTTTTACTTCGAGAAACATTTTGTTTGACAAAGTAATTCTGCGTAAAACAATTATTGAGATAAAAACGAACGCAGCAAAGAAAAATTAGAAAATGGGACGGAGCCGCCGGGGATTTTTGCCCATTTTTAAAAATAGAGACAAAAAAAAGCAGTCATAATGAATAACAAAGAAATGTCAGTTCGTATTAAGTTCGGTGTGGCCAGAAATATGTCTGCAAGCGATTATTTCTCATTTCAATTGAAACATTTCATTTCATTGAAATTGATTCGGTGTGGATAAAGGTCGTTTTGGATCTGAGAAATGACCTTGAGTCAGACGGTTTTCTCTTTTTTTTCCATTACTTTTCACTTGGTTCCACATCTGTGCCAACTTTAATTATTCGTAAGCGGCCAATCAATGTGAGTGCGTATTAAATTATGCGTATAGTTATTTCACTTTAAACCATTCTTTTTAATTAGATGTGTGTTTGAATTTTGCGGCGAACGAAAAAGAGAAACAGAAGAAAATAAAAAAAAACCAGAGAGAGAGATACGCAGAACATGCTTTGAAGCAAAAAGAAAATGCCCCACATCATCATCATCAGTTGCCATGATGATTGTCGGTAGCGAAGTAGCCGTTTGCAGATTGTACGTCGCATCTTGAATGTGAAAAGAGACCGCAAGTTGGAAGATGCCGTATGAATGTGATGTATTAATGGGATCACGAAATGAATGTGTTTGGTATGTATATTTCTCTTCGTTGTTCGCCGTATTTTCTCATGCGTACGAAAAATTAATTCGTTGCAATGTAATGAATGTGTACACACAGAAATAAAGCGGCCTCGCCGTAAAGTCGTGGCTAAACTGTTACAGTTACTGTAATTAATTACAAACAATACTCTAACCCAAATCAAACAATCTGCGTACAACAAATACACCGAATAGAAAGAAAGAAACATTCGAAATAGTGTCAGAGCTGTTGCATGTTCTCCGCATTTTTCTTTCATTCTGTGCGGCGGAGTTGTTGTTTTTTTTATGTTCATCGGTTCTGATCAACTTATCTTGCATCTCTGGAATGAAAGACGGCAGACTCCGTCTCGAACAAGACACAATCGCATTTGTAACAGAATTAAAAATGGAATCACGGTAAATACTTGATAGATTGATTCCAGCCCGATTATGTTGCGATGGCAGCATTACAAGTTGAAAGGAGGTATTTGAACCGGTCATGATGATATGGATTATTCATACGCGAGTATATAGCAGAAAATCATGACGATCTCAATGTGACTAATATAAGCCGATGAACGCATTCTTTACATTCTTACTTAAGTGTATGTGTTTTTTGTTTTTTTTTTTCGTTGCAGACTTCTTAAATTTTCCTAGCATTTTTAACTGAACCGCATTTAAGTGGTGTGAAATAAAGTAATTAAATGTACTTTACGATGGGTTTTATTTTTTTTTTTTCTAAAAAAGATAACATTTTCTAGTGAATGTTGACGAGAGTTTCACAATACACTTTTTCTCACCGCGTTTCGGCTTTCGAACATTGTTTTGTTTTCGATTTTCTCGTGGCCGATTTTCAATCGATATGTACGTGACGTAAGATATAGATAAATTTCTGCTTCGTGCTCACAATCGACAGCGATCAAAATGAGTAACAAAATATGCAATCACCTAACGTTACTTGATAATGTGGCGCGCGATCGCATCGTTGCGATTAATTGAATTTTATTTTTGCCATTTGGCGCATCCATTATTCATGACTACAGCTTCGATTTCGAATGAAAATTAAATCGTTTTCTCTTTGAAAATTAAATTCGCAAATAAACCCCATATCATTTGCATATATGATATGATTCACCAAACACATCCACTCGCATGAGCTGATCACTTTGTGAAGTACAATTGATTCAGCACAATCGAATGACTCACCAAGCTAGTAAGCTAACTAAATTGACCACAAACAAGCGTCCGACAATTTATAATTTAGTAAAACGTCTTGCGAATATTTAATGTTGTTAGATGAACACTTGAACGAAAAACCAGCCATTTCTTTCTCTCTCTCTCTCGTCAACAAGAAAATATCCAGTGTTTGCAAATAGCAACTAAAAATACCGTAAATTTTATGTGCCACAAATGAAATTTGCAACATTTTTCAACTGGTCCAGTGTGATTTCTATTTTTTGTGTGTTGCATTAAATTGATGGTGAACACTATGCGCGCTATTATGTTCACTAATTAACAAGAAAAAGTGGCAATCGCACAATAAACAATAAAGCAATTAGGAAACAAGGAAACGATATAATCCAAATGGGAAGAAAGACACACGCACATAAATCACTTTGGAATTTTGACCGGTGGTAACGGAATTTTTTAATATGGCCAATTTTAAAGTAGACTATTTTTTTGTTGGTGAGAAATTTTTCGTTTACCTCGACGAATGGAATTTCAGTGGAATCTCGTATGCACATCATTTTTTCACAATTATATTTTTTCGACTTCTAAGTTTAAAATGTTCACAATTCTATTTAAAACCGAGAAAATACGCTTCAAAAAGGAATTTTTGATAAGAGTAGAATACACTTTTGCTTGTTTAAAAAAAATATCAACAACACTTTTGATAAGTTTTTCTCTTATTTTTAGTTTCCTTTATTTGGAGTCAAGAAAGAGTCAACAGTATGAGTGATCTCTTAAAGGGTCTGTGATAAACTGAATGTGATTAAGTTCACGAAAGCCACACCAAGCGCTTATATGATGCATTGTTTTGGTCTCACATCAATCTCTCGTGTATGGTACGATCCAAGCGTACAAACACAACGTACATATTCCTATTGACTTGTTATGATGAGCGGCAGCAGCGGTGACGCATACTTTGTTTTCACTTCACTATTCTTGTTCTCTCCTTCTTTGCGCTCCACTACATGCCAGTTCAACGTTATGTATGCACAAAATACAAAACATTTTTTCGAATGAGTAATTTGCAATGAAAGGAGCGAATATACCATCGATGGGGAAAAAAGGGAATTGAAAGAGGATTCGATGACAAATGCCACAAGGAACGAATTTACTCTGCATGAGTCATGGGCTATTTTTAAAGCAAACCAAATGCATATTATGAACGAAACCTCATGAAGTTAACAGTATTACGGATTATTATTTTAGTTGGAAAATATGACATTCAAGAATCAAACGCATCGAAAAAAAAATTGACATTTGTACGGTATATTCAAAAAAAGTGAACTGCTCAGATTACAT